GCGCAGTTTGGAGCACGCAACGCTAACGCAAAGACAAAGTGCTTGCGTTTGCCCCAATAGGCAATACAAAAAATCTTTAATAAGATAGTTCTCGTTTTTATTTACCATTTCTATAAAGTGGGCCGACACACGTATCTCGGCAAATTTAGAAAGTATATCATACAGTTCATTTCGTTTACACAAATGTCCCATGGAACGAAAGAGATAATTCAATCGGATAATTTCTTGCGTCATTTCCCCCTCACGCAGAGAACGCCCGTAAATAGATACATAAAACCTCTTTTGATTAAATTATTCGGTGCTGCTACATAAGGGGGGGGGGGGGGGGGGGGGAGAGAGAGAGAGAGAAAAAGAAAGGTAATCGAGAAGAACCTGGAGGTTATTCACAAAGCGCCTCTAGTCACCTCGTTCATCGTTCCATTCCAAAATCAAATTATGCCGCATTTCTGCCCGCTCCCCGGGGCAATCAAAATTTACGTGAAGCGTGCTAATTATTTGAGTAATATATTATTACACTTTGTTTCAGCCATCTCGAATCTCCACAGGCTAATTATCAGAAAGTATTGACAGAGAAAGCTTTGGTCTTTGTCAACTGTAGTATAAAGAAAAAGTACGTAACTATAAGCGCGACTATAATAGGTTTTCAGATCACAAATATTCTAGTTGTAGGCTGGAGAGGCGAGTGCTTACCTTTGTCCTAGACTCCTAGGTGCGTCAAAAAGGCACCCATAAAGCCCCGTAATTGGCAGAAATACAGCAATACTCAAATGCAGAAGAACTGAATGATAATGGTGGGACTAAAAAGTTTCCATCAGTCAGAGTGTCAAGAACGCATATAGGCGTTTTCGTTTTATGTTAGCGAACGAGTGTTTTAAGGTTCTTAATGTTACATGTTTTTGGTAGAAGAGGAATGACACACACGAAGGAGAAGCGAATGTTCGTCAACTGGTTCGTTTTCCTTGGATTACAAGACCACATCAGGAGTGAACAGTAACTTTTTTTTTTCAAACGCTGTCCAGTTTTTTTTTTTTTTTTTCTTTTTAAGCTGCTCGTGGGTAACGGCCCAGAAGCAAAGGAACATTTAAGCGGTGTAAAAATAATCAAATTCTCCAAGGAAAAATTTTAGCGTAAAACGCGTGTTAATTTAATTTATGCGTTTAGAACGGCCCGAAGAGATTTTTTATGGGAAGCTTTCATATGCGAGTTGGAGAAGGAATCGGCGCTTTTGTATCCCGGTCCACTGGCGTTTGAAGCATAAAGTGAGACGGAAACTCCCGAAGAAGTAGGGAATACTAGTTGGGCGCATAAACTATAACAGCAATACACACCGAGCGCTACCGTGTTCCGAAAAAGCGAACTAAAAAAAAAAATATTTCATTAGGCTCATGCGGAAAGATTTATTTCTATGAGGTAAACATACGACCCTCTATTTATTTACCTTTTTTAGAGCCAAAGCGCTTATTATGCCGGTTTTTTTTTTTTTTTTTTTTTTTTACTAATAGGACGGACTATTTAGGATAGAAGCAGAAGGAATACGAACAAAATCTAAGAGCGCAAAACGAGCAAATGATGGTTAATCATATTATTGAACAAAAAAGTCCCCAAACTCAGGGAAATAGAGGACAGCAGGATCACAGAACGAAATCTCCTTGTGTCCGCGTTCTGTCCTTATTTATATCGGGAATTCGCCAGGGCGTGCTTTGAGTAAATTTTGTAAACCGAGAACAGTCTTATTCGTGTTTCGCTTTACGTAAAACAATAAACGAAAAAATTGGAAACCCACATGAAACAAAAGAAAGAGGCAATATGAACAAAATGACGTAACGAGACATAAAACAGCCAGAAAACCTTACGTCAAATATTACGATTTGCGGCACTTGCCACACACGTTCGATGTAATGCCAATGTCGTCATACACGACGTAAGCATCCCAACACCATCGTGCTGGCTTACAGCAGGAATAAATGCTAAAACAAAACAAAAAATACTTGGCGCACATTATTCACGAATAGAATAATCTTCCCGTCAACATTATATGCTTCGTCCACTCGGGAATTTGCTTCGGCATTTCAGCGTTATTTCTCAAATGTGCAGTCCTACCTTGTCTCTATCACTCGTGTGCAACTAGGTTTTCTCCTGGTGTATACTATGTATGCCCTCTCCTGCCTTGGTTGCCATTCGGCAGCAGGCAGTATGTATAAATAAACTAATAAATAAATGATACAACATATTATTAGTCACCGCAAGGAACGCGGAGCGCGGTAAGTACCGAGCATCTTATTGCCGTTCCGCGGCCAACCAGGCTGTGGCATTGACCGTTAAGGACAACCAACATATCCCAAAGCAAAAAAAAAAAAAAAAAAAAGCGGGAATATGATAAGGCGCGCCCGTGCACTCTAAGAAAAAGCCCGTGCGTCTACTTTCACGCACACCACTCGGAGAGCCAATCGCTGCAACTTACGAAGGCAGCCCAGCGAATGACGATGCCGAAACATATGTTAAGACCAAAAAACGCAGTCTGAGTTGTGACATTAAGCATTGCAAGCGTGACGTTTTGCATTGCTTGATGTCACAACTCAAACTGCGTTTTTTTTGGTCTAAACATATCTTTCCGCATCGTCATTCGCTGAGGTGCGCTGATTGGCTCTCCGAGTGTTTTTCGTGAAAGTGGACGCAAAGACATATTTTAGAGTGTGTTCCTCGAGCTGCCGGGGACCACGTCGCTCATCGTGGCTCATCATATCCGTCTAACCACAGGCATACAAAAACAAACATACGCGCGTGAACGCGCACGAGGAGCTAATGTGATAAAACCCGGGTACGTGTCGTATTTGCGATTATGACAGGCTTCCGCGCTCGCTTGTCTGCGGATGCGCGAAATCGATATCGCATATGTAGCAACTCTGAAACGGGTAAAACCGCTGAAAATCAAAATTTTGTCGAAGACTTACATAAGAACATGAACACGAACTTCACTTGCCACTTTAAAATAAGAAGGTGTAATAGCCAGCTTCTTTAATTGCAAAAAAAAGAAAGCGTTAGTACGTTGGTGTTTTTTTCGCAACAGAAGACTTGCTGAAGCATGAGAGTCGAGGCGAGATTGATCCTAGCACGGAACTGTTGTTCGTAAAGCTTCACAGTACTAGCGTTGCATGTTATCGTCATTTATGTAAGGATAAAAAAAATCCGCATTCTGCTACCGGTGATTAAAAAAGTATAATCGAGTCTGCTCCATTCGAGCCCTTGGTAGTAAATCGCTGACCTTACTTTAATCAATATTGCGAATCTACATTGTTTTTTTATACTCAGTAGTCAGTATCTAAAAACTGTCGGCTACAGCCATTAACCGTAGCAAAAAATGTCCGACTCCTCCAGGAGCATTATTAATTTCGCCTTTTATGGGGAGAATGAAGTTATATGTAGGTGCGTTTTAGGTTAGATAAATGTTATCTTATAGAGACATACACGTCTCAAACGCCAAAAGCATCGCCTCTACCTCCGTTAAAGGGCAACTCCGCTCAATTCCGAAGATTTAGGGGTAATGATTGATTTCGAATTAAAAAGCCGTAGTAAAACACACTATGTAGTTTGCTTCGCGAAAAATGGGATATATATTTTTTTAAATCTGATTTTAAACACGAGCGGAAATCGAAACCGAAACTTCGGCTCCGCCCGGCAACATTGGCCTTGGGTCGCCAAGTACATGGCCATCACGTGGTACGAGATGTCACGTGATCCTCGGCCCAACGACGGGCGGGATTGGGGCGGGCGTGTGGCAGGCGCGAGTGCCGTCTGCACCGCACTCTTCGCCACGTTTTGGTGTCTACGGCATTCGACGACGTCTGCGCAACTGCGGCATAAGTGTGCGCGCACGTGGTGTCCGTAGTGTGGACGAAACTCCGAGAGACAATAATCACAATCGGTGAGACGACGACGGCGGTTGTGACGCGGAAGACGGCGGTAACGGCGGGACCACGGCGGGCGGCCGGACGGCTCCCAAGAAACGCGCTGCGCAGCCGCGTTACGCCAATCACGTGGACACTGCTGAGCGCCGAGAGGCAACGTTGCTGACGTCATGCGCTACGCTCGCCCGGAGAAGTGAAAACAAGCAAAAGGGGGCCATGTAAATGGCGTTTAGCTCAATGTTGTCTCCGCCCATGCCGTAGCCTTGACTGCGCTGTTAGTTGCGCCTGAATTCGCCCGCTCAAGTCAGCCGATTTCGGCAACTTGGCGAGTTGCAAAGTTCGCCGGACCGTTTAAGAAACATTTAGACAGAACTGCGTCGTTAGATTTCACGTGTGGTCTTCCTCGGCGATACTGAAGAGGACTGCATTGTTTTTTCAAAACCAAAAATGAAGCGGAGTTGCTCTTTAACCAATGGTTCTAAAAACTACTTATCGCGGCGTATAAACAATGCTCAAAACTTGCTTCCTTCTTGAGGTAAAAACAAGCATATATTGTCGTTTTTTTTTTGTTTTTTTTTTTTCTTTTTTTACGCAATATCATCATTGACGTATTTTTATATATTTAACTATAATTTCAGAAATTTGAACATACAGAATCGTCAATGACGTTGACGGATGGTAATTCATTCGGATGGTGCATCTGTAAAGCATCATCCTGCGAAAGTATACGGTGCACACGTAGTCAGCAAAAAGGGAAAATCCCGCATGATTTTCAGGGATATAGATCTCCATGCCTAATGTAATAGGTACTAAATACTTTCGAGACTGCGCTGTAGGTTGTCGTACAGGTTTTAAAACAAGAGCTTTACATTAACCTAAATAACTAGGGGAACATTAGTGTCAGCTGCTGAGAGGCGTTGACCAGACTGTTTGAATATCCTGGGTAACTGGTAACATTGCTTCGCGGCCTCCTGTCCCGAGTTACCATATCGAGTGAGAAGGTTTTAGGAAAGCGCTCGACGCCGATTTCAAATTCCCACCCAGAAGCTCTCGGCTCATGCGAAGAAAATAAGTTCCCAAAAGAGGTTCCCTTACCGCAAGTCATATTTTCTGCACGGGACAGCTCGGCTTGACCGAATATGGGGGCTCCTTTCTCGTCCACACAGACGCACCTGCAGATTGGAGAAGCGTGAAATGGGAATTAGTGCTTAGTTGTATTATCGTTGCTCTAATCTAGTTTTTCCCTTTTTGCTTAGCGCTTGACTCTACTTAAGTTTCGTAGACTTACACCGTAAAACTGAACGTTTGAAGTGCTGGTAATATTCTTTACTTTAAATACGTTAACATTAGTGCCCTGGTACATGCGCCGACCTTCGACTGCTTCTGAGCACACGTATATAAAGTTCTCAACGTCACCGCGGGATTGCGCCACAAACCCAGTGGCTGTGGAAACTGGCTAGGAAACACTTTCTGCAAGCGCGGACGGAGAACGGCGGGTGCAGATTTCGAGAGGCTAGGCGATAGTACGCATAGCAACGGAGGCCGCACTGGATTGGCTGGTTATAGGGAGTGACTTCGCGACGTTAGACCTAGCAACCGAAGATCGCCTGTGCCGTCCCCTTCGTCAATTTCGGCGCCGCGTAGGGGGAAGGGGGAGGGGAGGGCGGGCAGGTGTATCCAGTGGCGTCACAAGGGGGGGGGGCGGGGGGGAGGGCGGACCACCCCGGGTGCAGCACTCAAGGGGGTGTCGCGGCGAGCCACGAGAGCGGGGTGGGGGGCGTGGGGAGTCGCGGCGGGCTATGCGAGGCGAGAAGGGGGGGGGGGGGGGGGGGGGGGGGTCGCGGCAGGCTACCGCCCCGGGTGCCGCTGACCCCCGTGACGCCACTGGGTGTATCACTGGAGCGTGTGTTAATCACCCCCCCCCCCCTTCTCTCCTCCGCTTCGTTCACGCTGCTTCAAGGCGACAGTCTGCGGATGGCTCAATACAAAATATTAACCCACCTTTGCCCACCCGTACACTAGGTGTTACGGGTGACTCAAAGCTTTACGTGTTACGTAACACCTTGTGCTAGGTGTTACTATACGAGGGGGGACCCAAAAGAAACCGAACTAATTCTTTTTTAAGCAGAGCTTTTGCAGTACCGCGTTTTGCCGCCAGGAGTTGATAGAGCGAACATTGCTGAGTCATTAGGCCTACTTCCGTCCTCGAAGAAGGTTAGGACTAGTTGCGGCTGGGTTTATAGTGACAAGTGTATCGTGTGGGCGTCGTTTTTGCAATGTCTGATTTCTGTGAACAGCGTGCAGCGGTTAAATTCTGTTTTTTGCTCCGAAAAAGTGGAACAGAAACTATTGAACTGTTAAAAACGGCGTACAAGGACGATTCCATGGGGAAAACTCAAGTGTTTGAGTGGTTTTCCCGTTTCAAGAATGGCGACATGTCAATTGATGACAAACCTCGTTCCGGTCATCCTTTCTCGGCACGAACACATGAAAACGTTGAAAAAATTCGTGCAATCATCAACGAAGATCGACGACGGACCATTGACGAAATTGTGGAGCTGTCGGGAGTGAGTTGGAGTTCATTGCAGCGAATTCTAACAGAAGATTTGGGAATGAAAACGGTGGCTGCCAAATTCGTGCCACGACTGCTGACTGCTGAACAAAAGCAAGGTCGCGTGGAAGCATGCTGTGCTTTGAAAGAAGAGTCCCGAAGTGACCCAAAATTTTTTTCAAAAGTTATTACAGGTGACGAAACTTGGTGCTATGGTTACGATCCTGAATCAAAGCAACAATCAAGCCAGTGGAAGACTTCAGGTTCGCCTCACCCCAAGAAAGCTCGTCAGGTGAAATCAAACATCAAAACAATGCTGATTAGTTTTTTCGATGCGAAAGGAGTCGTCCATTCAGAGTTTGTTCCGCAGGGTTAGACAGTTAACCAGGGTTTCTACTTGGAGGTTTTGAAAAGATTGCGCAACAGTGTGCGGCAGAAGCGGCCCGATTTGTGGAAGTCGGGTGACTGGTTTTTCCATCATGACGATGCCCCGGCTCACACTGCCTTGTCTGTACGACAATTCTTGACCAAAAATGGTATGACCCCTGTTCCTCACCCCCCATACTCACCCGACCTTGCCCCGTGCGACTTTTTTTTGTTTCCTAGATTGAAAAGAGAAATGAAAGGAAAGCGTTTTGCTGACGTTGCTGAGGTGAAGAAAAAAACGACGGAGGCGCTGTCAAGCATCACAAAAAATGAATTTAAACAATGTTTCGACACATAGATTAAAATATTAGACAAGTGTATTAGTGCAAGTGGACAGTACTTTGAAGGAGATTGAACGTTGGTACTTGAAATGGGAATAAGTAAGTGCAAACAAATTTAGTTCGGTTTCTTTTGGGTCCCCCCTCGTATATAGCTCGTTGCAACTCAAAAAGGTAGGGCGAGGGAAAGGACGGCCAGGTAGGAAGAGGGAGATGGAACGCTGGCAAGAGGAGGAGGTTTCCCCCTCTCCTCTATAGCGTTCCGTCTGCTTCCTCCTCCCCGGCCTTCCTTTCCCTCACCCTACCTTCTTGAGCTGTAGCTTAATATAGCCTGTTACAACTCAAGAAGGTAGGGCGAGAAAAAGGAAGGCTGGGGAGGAGGAAGCAGACTAAAGAAAAAAGGAGGTTTCCCCCTCTCTTCGCCAGCGTTCCTTGTGCTTCCTCCTCCCCGGCCTTCCTTTCCCTCGCCCTACCTTCTTGAGCTGTAGCTTACTATAGTTTATTACAACTCAAGAAGACAGGGCGAGGGAGAGGAAGGCTGGGGAGGAGGAAGCAGACGGAATGCTAAAGAAAGGAGGTTTCCCCTTTTCTTCTCCAGCGTTCCTTGTGCTTCCTCCTCCCCGGCCTTCCTTTCCCTCGCCCTACCTTCTTGAGCTGTAGCTTACTATAGTTTATTACAACTCAAGAAGACAGGGCGAGGGAGAGGAAGGCTGGGGAGGAGGAAGCAGACGGAATGCTAAAGAAAGGAGGTTTCCCCTTTTCTTCTCCAGCGTTCCTTGTGCTTCCTCCTCCCCGGCCTTCCTTTCCCTCGCCCTACCTTCTTGAGCTGTAGCTTACTATAGTTTATTACAACTCAAGAAGACAGGGCGAGGGAGAGGAAGGCTGGGGAGGAGGAAGCAGACGGAATGCTAAAGAAAGGAGGTTTCCCCTTTTCTTCTCCAGCGTTCCTTGTGCTTCCTCCTCCCCGGCCTTCCTTTCCCTCGCCCTACCTTCTTGAGCTGTAGCTTACTATAGTTTATTACAACTCAAGAAGACAGGGCGAGGGAGAGGAAGGCTGGGGAGGAGGAAGCAGACGGAATGCTAAAGAAAGGAGGTTTCCCCTTTTCTTCTCCAGCGTTCCTTGTGCTTCCTCCTCCCCGGCCTTCCTTTCCCTCGCCCTACCTTCTTGAGCTGTAGCTTACTATAGTTTATTACAACTCAAGAAGACAGGGCGAGGGAGAGGTAGGCTGGGGAGGAGGAAGCAGACGGAATGCTAAAGAAAGGAGGTTTCCCCTTTTCTTCTCCAGCGTTCCTTGTGCTTCCTCCTCCCCGGCCTTCCTTTCCCTCGCCCTACCTTCTTGAGCTGTAGCTTACTATAGTTTATTACAACTCAAGAAGACAGGGCGAGGGAGAGGAAGGCTGGGGAGGAGGAAGCAGACGGAATGCTAAAGAAAGGAGGTTTCCCCTTTTCTTCTCCAGCGTTCCTTGTGCTTCCTCCTCCCCGGCCTTCGTTTCCCTCGCCCTACCTTCTTGAGCTGTAGCTTACTATAGTTTATTACAACTCAAGAAGACAGGGCGAGGGAGAGGAAGGCTGGGGAGGAGGAAGCAGACGGAATGCTAAAGAAAGGAGGTTTCCCCTTTTCTTCTCCAGCGTTCTTTGTGCTTCCTCCTCCCCGGCCTTCCTTTCCCTCGCCCTACCTTCTTGAGCTGTAGCTTACTATAGTTTATTACAACTCAAGAAGACAGGGCGAGGGAGAGGAAGGCTGGGGAGGAGGAAGCAGACGGAATGCTAAAGAAAGGAGGTTTCCCATTTTCTTCTCCAGCGTTCCTTGTGCTTCCTCCTCTCCGGCCTTCCTTTCCCTCGCCCTACCTTCTTGAGCTGTAGCTTACTATAGTTTATTACAACTCAAGAAGACAGGGCGAGGGAGAGGAAGGCTGGGGAGGAGGAAGCAGACGGAATGCTAAAGAAAGGAGGTTTCCCCTTTTCTTCTCCAGCGTTCCTTGTGCTTCCTCCTCCCCGGCCTTCCTTTCCCTCGCCCTACCTTCTTGAGCTGTAGCTTACTATAGTTTATTACAACTCAAGAAGACAGGGCGAGGGAGAGGAAGGCTGGGGAGGAGGAAGCAGACGGAATGCTAAAGAAAGGAGGTTTCCCCTTTTCTTCTCCAGCGTTCCTTGTGCTTCCTCCTCCCCGGCCTTCGTTTCCCTCGCCCTACCTTCTTGAGCTGTAGCTTACTATAGTTTATTACAACTCAAGAAGACAGGGCGAGGGAGAGGAAGGCTGGGGAGGAGGAAGCAGACGGAATGCTAAAGAAAGGAGGTTTCCCCTTTTCTTCTCCAGCGTTCCTTGTGCTTCCTCCTCCCCGGCCTTCCTTTCCCTCGCCCTACCTTCTTGAGCTGTAGCTTACTATAGTTTATTACAACTCAAGAAGACAGGGCGAGGGAGAGGAAGGCTGGGGAGGAGGAAGCAGACGGAATGCTAAAGAAAGGAGGTTTCCCCTTTTCTTCTCCAGCGTTCCTTGTGCTTCCTCCTCCCCGGCCTTCGTTTCCCTCGCCCTACCTTCTTGAGCTGTAGCTTACTATAGTTTATTACAACTCAAGAAGACAGGGCGAGGGAGAGGAAGGCTGGGGAGGAGGAAGCAGACGGAATGCTAAAGAAAGGAGGTTTCCCCTTTTCTTCTCCAGCGTTCTTTGTGCTTCCTCCTCCCCGGCCTTCCTTTCCCTCGCCCTACCTTCTTGAGCTGTAGCTTACTATAGTTTATTACAACTCAAGAAGACAGGGCGAGGGAGAGGAAGGCTGGGGAGGAGGAAGCAGACGGAATGCTAAAGAAAGGAGGTTTCCCATTTTCTTCTCCAGCGTTCCTTGTGCTTCCTCCTCTCCGGCCTTCCTTTCCCTCGCCCTACCTTCTTGAGCTGTAGCTTACTATAGTTTATTACAAC